CTCGTGCTCCCACGTGTCCCATGACTGCCATCTGCTCCATGGCGAGGCGGAGCATGATGCCCCAGACCAATGGGTCGGACGGGGCGTGCGTGCTGCCTCCTTGCCTGGTGTGGCCCATGGGGGTGGGCGGCCTCGGCTGTCGTACCCTCGCGCAGTGTGTGGCTTGGCGACTCGTCGTTGAAACCTGCAGTGGCGGTCCTAGACATTCTGCCAGTCAACTTCAAGCTTGCAGTTCCTGTCCATCTTGTATGCATTTAAATTCGCCCTGGTCCATGCCTGGAGGAAATCTCCGCACTGTTCTACAGTGTTTAATGTGGGGCTGAGCTTGGTATCAAGGCCCCCCCGCTTCAGGGCTGCTTGCCTGACCCAAGCGCCCCACACTCCATTGAACGCCCCACCGAGCGTTTCCTGCAGACGCGAGATCTTGTGAGGGGCTGGCTCGCCCCTGGAGACGTCCGCCTGGTCCACTGGACACTTGTGCATGGGGAGGCCTCCCATGGGGTCGTCGCGCTGCTCCGCTGGCGGTAGTGACCTTCGCGCATCTCGCCAGGGAGTCTGCGCAGCGCGCGGAGGCACGTGGCCTGGGAGGCGAGCCCGCGGAGGAGGTGTGGGCGAGCGCACCCAGGCCCTGTTTTCCTCGACCACTGCTGGTCGCTGGTTGCTGCCGCCAACCGAACGCCTCAAAGTCCTGTTGTCACGGACCTCGTCAAAGTTCGGGAACTGCATGCCCCTGCTACGAGGGCTGTCTGACACGCCCTTCCCCCCGCCAACCTCCCGGGAGGCAGCCTGCGCGTATGAAGACCAGGCATTGGATTCGCTTCTTTCGGGCGCATTGACCCAGATCCGAAGGGGGTCCGGGATGCGGCGGTTGTCCTCTGTGGCGGTAGTGTCCGGAAGGTCGTCGTCGGGGTTGGTGGAGCGGCCGTGCGATTCGGAGTCCACAGAGCTGCCCTCGCTGGACCACGCGTAGTCTTCCGACTTGGATCATCTATCGCCTTCATCTCCCCAGTCAATCCCGTCCACGTCGCCGTCACCTCTGCACAGGCCGGGTGGGGATTGACTTTCAGTCTGGGGGGAAGGAGTCCCGTCAGCTTCGGCCGGCTGCGGGGGTGACGCGGCCGCGAAGTCACGGTCTGCTCCTTGAACCTCCATGCAGAGTCCTGCTGCGGGGGGTGAATAGCTGTTGGAGTGGCGGCTGATCCAGCTGGCGGCGGGCGGTCCATCCGCGTCGGAGCTGCTGGCTGCCGTCCCAAGGGGCAAAGCAGCAAGGTGGTCGATGGTGCCCCTGGCCAAGTCGGAGTCTTCCAGCCTTTAAATGAAGGTCCTTGGGCCGTAGAACGGCTGACGGAAGGGGCTCTGTCTCTTCTGGTTGGTGAGGTTGTTTGCATAGCGTTCCCACTCTGCCTTGTATCTGTGCCTCCTGTCCGCTAGGTGCGTGACCACCCTGGCTGCTGCGGCGCGCTGTCCGCCCCATGTGACAAGTGGGGGGTGTCCATTCTCTGGGATGGTCTTCCCAAACACGGCCTCAAGGAAGGGGAGCAGCCTCTCCGTCGGCCACCTCATCTCGTCTGTTCTGACCCCTTGGATATATTCGCCTTGCTGCCGAGCGAAGGTGGCCCAGCGATTGTAGATAATGTGATTCCACTCAATCATATACTTGACTAGGGCGTGGACAGGGCCGTCCGACTCAGCCCTGGCGAGACGGGGGGTGGAGTACGTGGGCAAGTAAAGGCAAGACGGTGGGGGTTCTGAGGGGAAGGAGGTGTCGCTGATGCTGACAGCCTTCTCTTCCCCTCTCGAGTGGCCGTCGGGGTCACTGGTCTCCATGTCTAGCGGCAGCGTTTCCTCGCCGCGGGGAGCGGGACGCGTGAATGCGTCGCCGACAGACGCAGTGACCCCTGCCGGGGAGAGGTGTGCAACCATGTCGTAGCTGTCCTCTGGCACCTCCGCAGCCGTCTTACGCTTAGTGGGAGCGGCGGGGTACACCTCGGAAGATTGGCGGTCGAGGATGTGGTCTAGGACGCCCGGGGCCACGTTCCATATGTGGACGAGGCATATCCTGCAGACCCATCCCGCGTTCCACTGCTGCTTGGTCCATAGCGTGGGCATCATTTCCCTAGAAGGCAGGCCTGTGTTCTCACTGCACTGCACCTCTGGATCATGGCGCCGCATGAAGCATCCGAATGCGGGGCACCCAACCTCCCAGGCAAGCAAAGGAGTCCCGGGAGGACAGGTATCGCAGGCCGCCGTGAACAGGTTAGTGCAGTGTGGCTCGGAACCGAACCTGCCGTCCGACAGCCTGTGGGCTGGGAGGGTGGTGCCAACCTTTGCTGGCTGGAAAGCTGGTGGTGCGCGCATGACTAGATCCTTCAGGGTAGAGGGACTTGGAGCGCAGTTTGCTAGTCCATACAAAATTGGTAACCTGCCCGGGCCGGGGAGGGTCCGAGCTTTCTTGCAAAAGCGTGCGTCTTCCATCCTGCGTTTGTGCACCTGGAGGCGTTGCTGCGTGGACCTCCTTGTGCCACCGTCCACGCGGGTGGGAATGGGGACCTCGACTCCTTTGTCCTCCCGGGACTTGATCCAGCACAGCTCGCAAAGCCACCTGCAGTTTAATCCCTGAACATACGCCTAAGCTCGGTTCTGCGCAATCAATTATCTTGTATAGTCGTCCTCCCAAGTGCCTGCTGTGGCGTGCAACCCTGTGTTGGTGCAGCCGTCGCAGTTGTAGCTGGCGTCATGCTGCTTCCTCTGGAACCTGTCGTCGTCAACGGACAGAGGGATGAGCTTTGTGCCTGGCGCAAATGAGGCGGGGAGGTCTTCATCAAGCCGACGGTTGGACATGGCAATGCCGCCTCCGATATACTGCGCGTCTTCCATGGTACTGGGGCAGCCAAGCCCGTCCTCTGTACCAGCAAGTTCCTTATGTAGCCTGCATATGGAGCAGCCTCCCAGACTCAAGGGTTTGATGTTTGCCGGCTCCAATACGCGCAGGGGGGCTTCAAGGGTGAATTCGTATTTCTGCATCTCGGCCCACGTTTGGGGGCAGCCGTGTATTTTTTGCACATGCAGCGCTCGGAATCAATGCAATCCCCAGCCCGCACGTGCACGGTTCCAGACACGCGTCTGCATCCTTACGCGGGGGCCGTGCCAGATACAGCACGAAAAACTTGCGAGAAGCAGCCAGGAGTCCACGAAGGACATCCCGGCGCACACGAAAATGGCCGTGGCAGCCCAGTCCACAGGGACATCCAGGCGTCGCACCACTATTGAAACAAAAGAGAAGAGAGGAAGAGGAGGAGGAGGAGAAACTGCACTGCGGTCCGGCAGCGATGGCGGGCCCCAGTATCGCTTCAGCAGGCGGTATCGCCGCACCGCAAGCAGCACGCTTGCCAAAGAGAAGGTCGCACACGCAACACTGCGGCAACAACAAACGCAATCTGCTCGACAAAGGTCAGCGGCCTTCCAAGGCTCAACATGCTCGGACGGCCAGGACGGAAACTCGGACGCGGACTCGGAGCACAGAGCAAACCTACTCAGATGGCAGGACGGAAACACAAGGACACAACAGGAGAGAGGAAGAGGAAGAGGGAAAACGACAGGACAACTAGGAGTCCACGAGGGACATCCCAGCGACAACAAACAGCGCAAGACAGCCTGGAATCCACAGGGAATCCCGGGCGTCGCGCGCAACAGGAGGAGAGGAGGAGAGGGGGGTGAGGAGGAAAAGGAGGAGGAGGACAATCAGAGTTCCAAAAACATCCACAACAGTAGGAACCACTCCCTGCGCCTGAGACCTGGCGCCAGCGCGAATGGAGCAGTGAGTGACAAGACATCTGTTGAACTCGGCATCGATGCGAACGTCCTAGGTCCTACACTGAAAGTCTGCCTCGAAGCTATGCGGGGTTGCAAGACGAGCACTCATGAGCGCATCTGTCAATATGCAAGCGGCCGCGGCCTCAGATCAGGAGAGGAGGAGGAGGAGGAGGAGGAGGAGGAGGAGGAGGAGGAGGAGGAGGAGGAGGAGGAGGAGGAGGAGGAGGAGGAGGAGGAGGAGGAGGAGGAGGAGGAATGGAGGGCAAGAGTGGGGGTCCCCAACAGTTTTGTCGGGGGGATGCCGCGGCATCGCGATTCCAGACCTATATTGGCGTCGGCCGGTGAGGTGTCTTGGAAGGCTCTGCGCCTGCGTCGGCTGCCACTGCTCGTCCTTTGTTGCACCCAGTGATCACAACGCTAAAGTTCTGATAACGTCCGAATTCCAACATCGCCTTTAACATCTCGTTCGACAGCGCCAGAGCCCGCGGCCACTGACCACCTTTCACTCAAACGCTGTTCCTCAGCGGTGTGGCTGACTAGCCTGTCGCATCGCGTCTGCGGAGCAGAGCGACGATCGCAAGGCTGTAGCTGGCTGCGTTGGGCTCCAGCTTCGCCTCCCGCAACTCGCTCAGCAGCGCAAGCGCACGCTGCCACTGCTCGCCCTTCTCGCACGCGCTGATCCCAGCGTTGTAGCTGATGACGTCGGGCTCCAGCTTCGCCTCCCGCATCTCGCTCAGCAGCGCAAGCGCCCGCTGCCACTGCTCGCCCTTCTCGAGCGCGCTGATCCCAGCGTTGTAGCTGATGGCGTCAGGCTCCAGCTTCGCCTCCAACACCTCGCTCAGCAGCGCAAGCGCCCGCTGCCACTGCTCGCCCTTCTCGCACGCGCTGATCCTAGCGTTGTAGCTGATGACGTCAGGCTCCAGCTTCCCCTCCCGCATCTCGCTCAGCAGCGCAAGCGCCCGCTGCCACGGCTCGCCCTTCTCGCACGCGCTGATCCCAGCGCTGTAGCTGATGACGTCGGGCTCCAGCTTCGCCCCGCATCTCGCTCAGCAGCGCTAGCGCCCGCTGCCACTGCTCGCCCTTCTCGCACGCGCTGCGCTCGTCGGGCTCACATCTCGCTCAGCGCAGCGCCCGCTGCCACTGCTCGCCCTTCGACGCGCTGATCCCACGCTGTAGCTGATGACGTTGGGCTCCAGCTTCGCCTCCCGCATCTCGCTCAGCAGCGCAAGCGCCCGCTGCCACTGCTCGCCCTTCTCGCACGCGCTGATCCCAGCGCTGTAGCTGATGACGTCGGGCTCCAGCTTCGCCTCCCACATCTCGCTCAGCAGCGCAAGCGCCCGCTGCCACTGCTCGCCCTTCTCGCACGCGCTGATCCCAGCGCTGTAGCTGATGACGTCGGGCTCCAGCTTCGCCTCCCACATCTCGCTCAGCAGCGCAAGCGCCCGCTGCCACTGCTCGCCCTTCTCGCACGCGCTGATCCCAGCGCTGTAGCTGATGACGTCGGGCTCCAGCTTCGCCTCCCACATCTCGCTCAGCAGCGCAAGCGCCGGCTGCCACTGCTCGCCCTTCTCGCACGCGCTGATCCCAGCGCTGTAGCTGATGACGTTGGGCTCCAGCTTCGCCTCCCGCATCTCGCTCAGCAGCGCAAGCGCCCGTTGCCACTGCTCGCCCTTCTCGCACGCGCTGATCCCAGCGTTGTAGCTGACTAGGGCAGACCTGTGGACTCCGTCCACGACATCAGCTCGACGTGGCGAGGGGTCTCTGGGCAAGCGCGGGGGGGTGCGGCTGCAGGGCCGAAAGGCAATCATGATGGCGTCGGGCTCCAGCTTGGCTTTCCACATCTCGCAGTGCAGCGCCAGGCCCCGCTTGTCGAAAGGGTGCCTTCTCCTCCTCCTCCTCCTCCTCCTCCTCCTTCTTCTCCTCTTTCGCTGGATTCTCCATGCCCTCGGTCGGCAATCGTCGATCCTACGACGACTCTCCCCAACAGAGAAACATCGAAGGCCCTCGGAACGTCCAACATTGTTCTTGTGTGTCTTCGATGTGCCGGTCGCCTCTCGTCCGCTCCCCCCCTCCTGGAAGCAATTCTGAGGCCACTTCGGGCTTCGCGGGGGCCGTTTGGGGATCTCTTGGGGCGTTTTTGCGTGCGATATGCCTGTCGCCTCTCGTCCGCTCCCCCGCTCCTGGAGGGAATTCTGAAGCCACTGAAGGCTTCGTGGGGCCCGTTTCGGAGCCTCTTCGGCCTTCTTTTGGGCCTCCCGGGGGGGCTCTTAGGGCCCTTTCGGGCCGTCTTGGGTGCCTCTTGGGCCGTCCTGGGGCCGTCTGAGGCCCGCCTCGGCGCCTCTTGGGCTGTCTTGGGCCGTCTTGGGCCGCTCCTGGGGCCGTCTTGGGAGCCTCTTGGGCCGTCTGGGGCGCCTCCTGGGCCGTCCTGGGGCCGTCCTGGGGCGTCTTGGGACCGTCTTCGGGCCCTCCTGGCCCGTCTTGGGGCTCTCTTGGGGTCCTCTTCGGCCGTCTTGGAGCGGTCGGGGGGACTTCTTGGGCCGTCTTGGAGCGTCGGGAAGCCGAAGAGGCGAGGAGGCCGAAAACATCGAAAAACACAATAGAAATCGACGATTTCTGTCGCTCGGGACCCTCTTGGGAGGCCTCTTGGGAGGCCTCTTCGGGCGTCTTGGACGCCTCTTGGGCCGTCTGGGGCGAATCTCGGGCGTCTTGGACCCATCTTTAAGCGTGCCGGGGCTCTCCGGGGCCGTCTTGGGGGCTTCTGGGGGCCCTCTCGACATGTCCTGGAGCCTGCCTGGGCGGCCCGGGGCGGCCCGGGGCCAGCCCGGGGCGGTTTCGGTGCGTTGGGGCCTGCGCCCTTCTGGCACGCACTGGGCCCTGCAATGTAGTAGAGATGACGTTGGGCTCCAGCTTCGCCTCCCGCATCTCGCTCAGTAGCGCAAGCGACCGCTGCCACTGCTCGCCCTTCTCGCACGCGCTGATCCCAGCGCTGTAGCTGATGACGTCGGGCTCAAGTTTCGCCTCCCGCATCTCGCTCAGCAGCGCAAGCGCCCGCTGCCACCGCCCGTCATTCTCGCACGCGCTGATCCCAGCGTTGTAGCTGATGACGCCGGGCTCCACATTCACCATCCACATGTCGCTCAGCAGCGCCAGCGCCTGCTGCCACTGCCCGCCCTTCTCGCACGCGCTGATCCCAGCGCTGTAGCTGATGATAACGTCAGGCTCCAGCTTCGCCTCCCACATCTCGCTCAGCAGCGCAAGCGCCCGCTGCCACTGCTCGCCCTTCTCGCACGCGCTGATCCCAGCGCTGTAGCTGATGACGTCGGGCTCCAGCTTCGCCTCCCGCATCTCGCTCAGCAGCGCAAGCGCCCGGCTGCCACTGCTCGCCCTTCTCGCACGCGCTGATCCCAGCGCTGTAGCTGATGACGTCGGGCTCCAGCTTCGCCTCCTGCATCTCGCTCAGCAGCGCAAGCGCCGCTGCCACTGCTCGCCCTTCTCGCACGCGCTGATCCCAGCGCTGTAGCTGATGACGTCGGGCTCCATCTCGCTCAGCAGCGCAAGGCCGGCTGCCACTGCTGCCACTGCTGATGACGCGCCTCCCGCATCTCGCTCAGCAGCGCAAGCGCCGTGCCACTGCTCGCCCTTCTCGCACGCGCTGATCCCAGCGCTGTAGCTGATGACGTCGGGCTCCAGCTTCGCCTCCCGCATCTCGCTCAGCAGCGCAAGCGCCCGATGCCACTGCTCGCCCTTCTCGCACGCGCTGATCCCAGCGTTGTAGCTGACTAGGGCTGACCCGTGGACTCCGTCCACGACATCTTTCTGTAATGGTTCTCGAAGGAACGGCGCAGATTGTACCGAACATCTACAAACACGGCGGCGGCTCGGGCGGCGGCAGCGAGACCGCGCCTTCGTGTCCGAGCTCTTGCAGCGCTCCAGCAGCTTGGCCCAGCGCACTGCTCGTTCCCCCCCTCCTATTGAGGACAGTTTCGATGTCTCTCGGAGATGTGCGTCGAAGTCGAAGCCCATCTGAGGCGTCTTAGGAGCGCGCGGGGAAGGGCTCGGGAGGCCATCGGGGAAAGCCACCGAAAGCGCCAGGGAGGCTCGCAAGGATCTACAGGGAGGGCCCAAGAGAGCTTCAAGAGAATTTGAAATCGTGTAAAATCTTTAGAGAAACCGCTGTTGGGTCGGCCATCACCTCCGGGCGCGCCTTGATGGTGCGATCCAGTCGCATCACCGCCAACGGGAGGGTTTGTTCGCCATGTCCCATTCTGTTCGCCCAGAGGGTCTGTGGAGGCCTTCGGGCGAACAGAACGGGACAGGGCAAGGAATGGGGAAGACTTGTCCGAATCTCCTGGGCCCCCCAGGTGCTCGTCCGAAGAATGCGGAGAGGTCCCAGGGTCATATCAATTGGCTGCTGTCCCAGGGGTCCGGTCTGCTTGGCCCGAAGAGTTTGCCAAGGCCCCTGGGGAACAGAATGGCACAGCATATCGGGCAAAGGGGGGCGGTAGCTGGCCTGTCAGACCCGGCGTTCGTCTTCTGCCCAAGCGGCGCGGGGCCCACGGGCCCCAGGGTTGGCGGGCCGCTGGGTTTCCTCTTGTTCGCCCACAGGGTTGGAGGAGGCCTCCAGGCGAACAGAATGGGGCAGGACAATGAATGTGGGAGACTTGTCGCAAGCTCCCAGCCCCCCCAAGTGTGCGCCCGAAGGGTGTGGGGCCGCGTTGGCTCCCTCAAAAGGCCGTCTTGGAGCCGTCCAGGCCCGTCTTGAGGGCGCCGTGTGCCGTGATGGGGCCGTCTTGGTTCGTCGTGGGCCCCTCATGGGCCGTCCGTAGGCCGTCCTGGGCCCATCGGGGTCCTCGTGGGGCTGTCTTGGAGCCGTCTGGGACCGTGAGGGGGCCGCCTTGGAGTCGTCTTGGGCCCCTCCTGTGCGCCTCCTTGGGCCGTCCTGGGCCCAGCAGGGGCCGTGTTGGCACCCTCTTGGGGCTGTCTTGGAGCCGTCTTGAGCCGTCGCAGCGCGCCTTGGGTTGTGCTGGGTCCGTCTTGGCCCGTCTTGGGGCCTTCCTGGGCGTTTCCTCGGACCCTCCTGGGACTTTCTGGGGCCTCTTGGTGCATCGCACCGCCGAAACGGCGGGAAACGCAAAGGGTGTAACAATAAACAATTGAAAAATAACGATTTTTGCCAGCTGGGGCTCTCTTGCCATCTTGGCCCGTCTTGAGGCCCCGACCGGGCGCGTCCTTGGGCCGTCCTGGGCGCACCCTCCTGGGACCGTCTTGGAATCGTCTTGGGCCGTCTTGAGCGCGCCTTGGGCTGTCCTGGTCCCGTCTGGGGCCGTGTTGGCACCCTCGCGGCGAGGAAGCTCGGAGGCGGGTTCGAGGCCTCTTTGGGGCCATTTTGGAAGCTGTTGGGGCCTCTGTTGGGGCCTCGTCTGGGCTCCTTGGGAGCCTCCTGGGGTCTCTTTGGGGGATTCTTGACGGCCCCTTGGGGCCTCTTGGGGGCCTGTTTGGGCCTCCTGGCGCCCTCTTGGGGCGGAATGCTCGGATTTTCCGTCCGTGGTCCCCCTCTTGGCCCCCTCTTGGGCCTGTCTTCGGGACCTCGTGGGCCGTCTTGAGCGTCTCTTGGGTCGTCTTGGGGCCCTCTTGGGCTGTCCTGGGGCGCTCTTGGAAACCTCTTGGGCAGTTCTGGGGCGCTCTTGGAGGCCTCTTGGGCCGTCTTCGAGCGTCGGAAAGCGGAAAAGGCGAGAAGGCCAAAATCCTTCCCAAACCGTCGTCAAGCGGATGATTTAGACGCCCAAGACCGTCCAAAACCTCCTGAGGCGGTCCCCTCGTCCGCCCCCGTGGCACCTCTTGGGGACCTCTTTGGGGCTCCTGGGGGCCTCTTGGGCCTCTCTGGGCTCGTCTATCGCGCCCCTTGGGCTGTCGTGGGGCCCCCGAGGGCCTTCTTGGGCGGTCCTCGGGCCGTCTTGGAGCTATCTTGGGCCGCTCTTTGGCCCATCTTGGGGTCCCGTTGGCCTGTCTTGGGCGCCTCTGGGGCCGTGCTGGGGCCGCCTTGGACCGTCTTGGGGCCTTCTTGGACCGTCTTGGGGTCCTCTTGGGGACCTCGTGGACCGTCTTGGAGCGGTCTTGGATGCCTCTGGGGGGGGTTCGGAACGCCGGGAAACCGAAAAAGCGAGGAGCCAGAAAACTTTTGAAAAAACAATGAAAAACAACGATGTTGGCCTCTCGGGGTTCTCTTGGGAGGCCTCTTGGGGGGCCTGTTGGGCCGTCTTGGGGAGCTTTTGGGCCGTCTGGGGACCTCTTTTGGGCTCCTGGGGGCCTCGTGGGCCTCTCTGGGCTCGTCTATCACGCCCCTTGGGCTGTCGTGGGGCCCCCGAGGGCCTTTTTGGGCGGTCCTCGGGCCGTCTTGGAGCCATCTTGGGCCGCTCTTCGGGCCATCTTGGGGTCCCGTTGGCCTGTCTTGGGCGCCTCTGGGGCCGTCCTGGAGCCGCCTTGGACCGTCTTGGGGCCTTCTTGGACCGTCTTGGGGTCCTCTTGGGGACCTCGTGGACCGTCTTGGAGCGGTCTTGGATGCCTCTGGGGGGGGGTTCGGAGCGCTGGGAAGCCGAAAAAGCGAGGAAGCAAAAAACCTCGGAAAAAAAACAAATGAAAATCAACGATTTTGGCCTCTCGGGGCTCTCTTGGGGGGCCTCTTGGGAGGCCTGTTGGGCCGTCTTGGGGAGCTCTTGGGCCGACTTGGGCCAATCTCGGGCGTCTTGGCCGGATCATTGCGCGTCTCGGGGCCCTCTTGGGCCGCCTTCGGGGTATCTTGAGCGGCTCGGAGCCGTCTTTGAGCGGCTCGGAGCCGTCTTTGGGCCGTCGGGGCGGCCTCCGGAGCGTCTCGGAGCCGTTTCCGGGCATTTGGCGCTGTTTCCTTCCGGCACGCGGTTCCTCCCGCCATATAGTATAGATGACGTTGGGCTCCAGCTTCGCCTCCCGCATCTCGCTCAGCAGCGCCAGCGCCGGCTGCCACTGCTCGCCCTTTTCGCACGCGCTGATCCCAGCACTATAGCTGATGACGTTGGGCTCCAGCTTCGCCTTCCGCATCTCGCTCAGCAGCGCCAAGGCCCGCTGCCACTGCTCGCCTTTCTCGCACGCGCTGATCCCAGCACTGCAGCTGATGACGTCGGGCTCCAGCTTCGCCTCCCGCATCTCGCTCAGCAGCGCCAGCGCCGGCTGCCACTGCTCGCCCTTCTCGCACGCGCTGATCCCAGCACTATAGCTGATGACGTCGGGATCCAGCTTGGCCTCGCACATCTCGCTCAGCAGCGCCAGGGCCCGCTGCCACTGCTCGCCCTTCTCGCACGCGCTTATCCCAGCACTGTAGCTGACCAGGGCTGACCCGTGGACTACGTCCACTTGCGGGGTGAAGGGGTGCTGCTGCAAGGCAGGATGAATGGCGTCATGTTCGCGTGCAACACATCGCTGAGCGAGGAGACGGAGGAGCGTCTGGACGCCCCACCTGGGGCGCTCAAGGGCTCCCTTGGGATCGGGTCAGGCTTTGTCGGCGCGTTGGGTCCGACCTTCTCGGGGCGTTCTGGGGCCGTCTGGGGGCCCTCCGAGGGGCCCCAAAATCACCAACACGCCTCCAAGATGGCTCCATAATGGCCGCCGGCCCACAATCGGCGGGACCGATTCTGGGCCACCGCGCCGCCGACCCAGAATCCCGCCCGACGCGCCCTTGGCGACCGCGCGCGCTTCCGGGGTCGGCCGAGGCGATTCTGGGCCACCAAAAGAGCGAAACACGGCATGGCCGCAAGAGGCCGCGGAGAGGGCTCCAGACCGACAAAAAGGGCGAGGGATTTTGAATCCAAATCCGGCAGGGAGCGCCAAACAAGCATCAGAGGCCCATGGTGCGCTGGAAGCCGTTTTGGGACTGTCTGTGGCCGCCTTAGGCCGTCTTTGGCTGCTGTTGGTGCTGTCTTCGGTGCTTGTTGGGCCGTGATCTTTGGGCCCCTGGGGGTCGTTTTGGAGCCTCTCAGCGCTTCTTCTCGGCCTCCTCCTGGAAGCCTCCTGGGCTTGAACTGTCTCGGGTGCCTCTTAGGCCGTGTGGAGGCGGTCTGTCTTGGACGTCTTTGGAGCAGTCTGGGCACCGTCTGGGGGTCGTCGAAGGCCGTCCTGGGCCGCTCTTGAAGCTGTCTTGGGTGCCCCGTGGGCCGCCAGGGGCGCCTCAGGAGCCGTTCTAACACTGTGCCGGCGATAGAGATCGCCTGGGGAGAATAAAGTTCCGGGGCTTGGCGGGGATATTAATGGATTTTCCAAGGCAAGGTAAGTGATGATGATGATGACGATGCTGATGCTGATGCTGATGATGATGATGATGATGAGGATGATGGTGATGATGATGAGGATGACGATGATCAAGATGATGGTGGTCCTGGGCGCTCGGCACAAGACTGACTCGAAAAATCTCGATGCTCGTGGCTATACAACTTGCCAGCAGGCGCTCGGCACAACACGAAGCTGATGTGGTGAGACCACCATGGCCATGCTCAGCGTGTTTGATGCTGTTGCTAGTCAACATGAGATGATAGCATCTTCGATTCGCAACTTCCCCCGTGGATTATAAAGTTCGGCCTCCGCGCCCCTCTCCACAATTAAATCTGGTTGAAAAGGGGACAATGAAAATAGAGGGGGTTAAGGGGGGGTAAATTATGATCGCCCGCACTCGGTTAGGGCCATATTCGGCCTCTGTATGGCCGTCTTGGACGCCATGAAGAGGGCAAGCTCAGGAACTGCCAGAAATTACGTTTTCCAGCGGGAATGGGACGATTTTTCAGTGTTCGGGCTCTCTCGGGGCTCGTCGAGGAGCACTTGGAGCGTTTTGGAAGCCCCTTGGGCCGACTGCAGGCCATCTGAGGCGTTCTCGGGGCCGTCTGGAGGTTGCCTGGATCCGCCTTGGGCGTCGCTGGATCAGTCTGGGCACCGTCAGGCGGTCGTCTCGGGCCGTCCTGAGCCGCTCTTGAGGCTGTCTTGGGTGCCCCGTGGGCCACCAGGGATGCCTCAGGAGCCGTCCTGGGGTCGTCGTGGGCGGTCTTGGGGCCCTCATAGGGGGCATCTCAGGGCGATCTTAGGGGTCTCTATGGCCGTCGTGGACGCGTCGGAAACGAAGAGCACGATAATGCCCCCAATGCGCTTTTTCCGCAGGGAATGGGATGATTTGGGCCTCCTGGGGCCTGGGAGGTCCTCCAGGACCGTCTTGGGAGCCTCCTCGCCTGCCATGGAAGCTTCTGGGGCCGTCGAAGCGGCCTCTTGAGCAGCTCGGAGCCGTCTGTGGGCCGTCTTGGGCGCGTCTTGGGGCCCTCTTCGCCCGTGTGGAGGCTTCCCTGGGCGGCCCGGGGCGTCATGGGGCCAGCCCGAGGGCGGCGCGGCGCGAATGGCCAAGACGGTCCCAGATGGCTCTCAGAGGGCCTTCGAGGGCCACTATCGCTTACTGTAGGCTCGCCCTGGGCGCCAAAGGGCCCTGCGGACAATTTTTTACCTAACAGCGAAGACTGATAGGTTTCTAGTTGACTCAAAAGAGCTCACAGATCACTCCACAGGGGGGTCCGGGCAGGTGTTGGGGAGTTGCCGGGCGGCAGGGTGCCGGGCTCGTTTTTCACCAACAGTCACACACTTCGTGCTCTTCGACTTCCCAGAACTCCATTCCCAGGCCACATTCTCAATACCCGGATGCAACAGTCACACACTTCGTGCTCTTCGAGATCCCAGAACGCCATTCCCGGGCCACATTCTGGAGGGCCGGATGCAACAGTCACACACTTCGTGCTCTTCGAGTTCCCAGAACTCCATTCCCGGGCCACATTCTGGAGGGCCGGATGCAACAGTCACACACTTCGTGCTCTTCGAGTTCCCAGAACTCCATTCCCGGGCCACATTTTGGATGCCCGGAGCCAACTGTAGGCCACTTCGTGCTCTTCGAGTTCCCAGAACTCCATTCCCGGGCCACATTTTGAATGCCCGGAGCCAACTGTAGGCCACTTCGTGCTCTTCGAGTTCCCAGAACTCCATTCCCGGGCCACATTTTGAATGCCCGTAGCCAACTGTAGGCAACTTCGTGCTCTTCGACTTCCCAGAACTCCCATTCCTGGGCCACATTTTCAGCAGGGGCAAGAGCACGACGAGGAGGAGGACGAGCAAGACCAGGAGGACGAGGACGAGCAGGAGCAGGACGAGGAGCAGGAGGAGCAGGAGAAGAAGGACGAGCAGGAGGAGGAGGAGGAGGAGGAGGACGAGCAGGAGGAGGAGGACGAGGAGGAGGAGGACGACCAGGAAGAGGAGGAGGAGGAGGAGGAGGAGGAGGAGAGGGAGGACTACCAGGAGGAGGAGGAGGAGGAGGAGGAGGAGGAGGAGGAGGAGGAGGAGGAGGAGGAGGAGGAGGAGGGAGGGGGGGAGGAGGGGGGGAGGGGGAGACCACCAGGAGGAGGAGGAGGAGAGGAGGAGGAGGAGGAGGAGGAGGAGGAGGAGAGAGCACCAGGAGGAGGAGGACGAGCAAGACGAGGAGGACGAGAACGAGGACGAACAGGAGGAAGAGGAGGAGGAGGAGGAGGAGGAGGAGGAGGAGGAGGAGGAGGAGGAGGAGGAGGAGCAGGAAGGAAAGAGGAGGAGGAGGAGGAGGGACGAGCTGAGAGCTGAGGCTGAGGCAGGCTGAGGCTGAGGCTGTGACTGCGACTGCCGTCGCCGCTGCGACTGTCATCGCGAATGCGACTACGACTGCGAGAACAGCAGAATTCGACAACTGGATTTTCATGTGAATCTTAAGGGGAATGCTTTCAGATATGCTTTTACACATCGCTGTTAGGTTGCTTTGCCGGGATAATCTAAGAAAAAGTGTTTGCAGACCCCTTTGGGGGCCACTTGACATGGCATGGTGGCGTTTTCGTGTCGTGACGGCTCCAGTGGGTTGCACGCGCAGCTGACAGCTGGGCCGCTTGAGCCCGCGAGTCCGTGGAAGGCGAAGGCTCCGAGGTGATGGCAAGATGCCTGGATGGGAGCGTGGATTCGCCGGGGCGCCCGAGCGGTGCGAATGGCCAAGATGGCTCAAGATGGCGTTCAGAGCGGTGAGAACGGCCAACGCGGCCCAAAATGTCGGGGGTCCGAGCGGCGCGAATGGCCAAGACGGTCCAAGGTGGCTCTAAGAGGACCTCCGAGGGCCACTATTGCATATTGTAGGCTCGCTCTGGGCGCCAAAGGGCCCCGCGGAGCATTTTTAAAGAAAAATTGCTCGCATATCCCTTTGGGGGCCACTTGACATGGCATGGTGACGTTTCCGTGTCGCGACGGCTCCGGTGGGTTGCATGCGCGGCTGCTGGCCCAGTGACGACGACGGCGACGACGAAGACGACGACGACCCCGCGGACCGAAATCCATGAGAAGAGGCTTTGCGAACCGTCGTGTTCTCCGATGTCTTCTGCGTTTTCGCTTTTTGAAAGATTTCCCCGTGCGTCCCTGGAAATGTGGGAAACCCAATGTATCTGGAGTTGTCGTCGAAGGCCCCCTGCTGGGAGGACCGCTTCGGCAGAGCGCCCGGGTTCCGCCGAGGTTGGCACGCGCAATTTTACATTGGCTTTGGGGCGATTTGCAAGGACACGCGGGGAGAAGGATCGGGTTTTCATAGATGCCCGCCAGGGTCCCCGCGGGAGTGTCCTGGCTAAGATACGCGATGATGGTGAAGATGATGATTGCGAAAACGAAGATGACGAGGATGATGACGATGATGATGATGATGATGATGGTGATGATGACGATGGCGGCGACGAGGATGACGATGGTGAGCGTGCAGAGGCCGAGCATAAGAGATAAAATGCTGGAACCTCGGAGGTCGACGATGCCAACACTGACGACGTAACGGCGACGACGACGACGACGACGACGGCGGTGGCGGCTGTGGTGGCGGTGGCGGCGGCGACGACGCGGTAGCGGCAGGGGGGGCGGCGGCGGCGGCCGCGGAGGTGGTGGCGGCGACGGCGGTGACGCGCCTCCGCGTCCGAGCTGTCGAAGCGCTCGAGCAGCTCGGCCTCTCGGGGCTCTCGGGGATCATTGTTGGCCTCCTGGGGGACTCTTGGAGCCCTCTTTGCGCGTCTTGGGCCCGTCTTGGGGCGTCCCGGGGCCCTCTGGGGCCGTCTTGGGCCTTTGGCCCGTCTTGAAGCCCTCTTGCGGGCCTCGTCGGTGGTTTTGGAGCGGTCTTGGGGACCTCTT